AAAAAAAAAAAAGAAATTTTTTAAGGTAATTTCTTGCCATCTCATTTTTTTGCCACGCTGTACATCCTAGGTGTCAAAATGTTTTAACATGTCATCCTTTTCCCGTCAAGTAACAAGACACGTAGGCAGATATTTAACGGAAGGACCAAATCGGGGTTAAAATGGTAAACAGTAGGGACTAAATTAGGGATTTTTTTAGTTTAGGGACCAAATCGGGGGTCCGTACAATAGTTCAGGGACCAAAATGGGGTTTTAACTTAATTTTAATCTATAATCTTTAAATTTTGGTATTCTCTATCTTATATGGGAGTGTGCTTAATTAATCTACTATGAAATTGAACTTCATTATACATTTGAAATGAATAGTCATTGTAGTGAAGAATGGTGACGCTCCTAAAATAAAAGTTCTTTAATTGTTGGAATTTAAAATTTTAAAAGCATAGTTGGAATTTTTGATGAATTAGATATACTTTGATAATATATATGTAGAATAGTGCTCATCTACCATTCCTTCTAGAAATTAAAAGAAAAATCATTTTAAAATTATATTATTTTAATAAACTCTTATTAAAAAAGACTAAAATATCATACTTTAAAAGTATGAATTAGTAATTTTTTTTATCTTTCTTGTGATACTTTATTGAAATAATATAATTTTAAAATAAATTTTTTCTTACTTTTTAAGAGGTAAGGCATATAAGTACTAATTATATATATATATTTTTTATTAGCTAGTACCTTTTCAACTAATTTGGGAATACTTTAACTATTAAACCAAAAAAATAGTGTATTGATTATTGGTTAGATTTTCTTTAATTGTGAATATTGAGTATGGTTATGGTCACCTATCATTTTATTAAAAACCACTTAAAAGTTGTTTAATTTAATTGATATTTTATATGTTTGTAGTTTTTTTAAACAATTGATTATGATATATGAAAATATTAGTTTATTAACTAATTTTAATTTATTAAATAATAAATATCAGTCATTTTATCAATTACCAACTATTTTTAACAATCAAATTAAATAAAATTGTGTGACCTTAATAATATAATAAGTGGTTATAACCACACTCGTGAATATTGGAATGAACATTATCTCTTCAATTAAGAAAAAAATTGGTACACCTTCTAATTTAACACACATCATGACATCTATCGATTCAGCTATTAAAATTTATAATTTATAATTTTTTTTTGTCTTTAATTTAAATTTAAAAATAATAATTTTTTAATTAATGTGTTGTATAGTGTGTTAAATCAGAGAATATACTAATCATTATCCCTTCAATTAGCATGAATAAATCCTAATACACAGCCATTGACTATTAGTAGAAAGTGGTTATAGTCACAGAACAAATTATTAGAGTCAAACAATTTTTTTTTAAAGTTTTTTATTTATGTAAATAAGCAATTATGATATTTGAAAATATCAATATATATATTGATTTAAATATATTAAATAATAAATATGAATTATTTAATAATTTATCAGCTGAAAATTACAATTATTAACTTTTTAACCACTAAACTAAATAAAATAAGTGTTTTATAAAACAAAATTGAAAAAACTGTGACC